TGACGGCCACGAGACTTGTCCATCGCCCTCAGGAGTTCTGACTGGGGCAGCCTCAGAGCACCTGTGTAGCTGTCCCCCAGGGTAAGGGGATGCCGGAGCTCCCTGTCTACCAGCCTGGCACTAAGGGACGCTGGGCTACGCTGCTGACYGCTAACCTCCGTCTCACTCCTGTGGCCTCCCAACTCCCTTTGGGCCCTGCCACCTGGACACAGCCACCAGACAGGTCAGCTCCATGCTGACTACGCTGCCAACCCCCTTCCCTGTGCATAACTTGGGCCTTTATCCCAGCAAAGACCCCCTGAGACTGACAGACTGAACCTGGAGAGGGGGAGTGGCTGGGGAGGGTGTGGGTTCAGGCTGGGGCATAGGGAGAAGAATCTGGTAGCAAAGGCTGAAGAGGCTTTGGGGGGCCCTCTGGTAGCACATGTGCTTAAAGTTGGCACAAAGGGMACTCCAGTGCTCAAGTCGGGCAATGGCCTTGATTCTACGCAGGCCCTCCACCTCAGGCTGGCTCTGGCCTACCTGATCTTTTCATCTTCAGGGTCATGGTCAGGCAAATGGATTCCAAKCCAGGCCACCCGAGTAACAGCTCTGCTTCCTACCAGCTGTGTGATATGAAGTGCATTACGGAACTTCTGAGTCCACCTTCTCCTGTACAATGAAGACCGTACCTATCCCCGCAGGAATATTGGATGAAATGAGTTAAGAATGCTCGGAACAGTGTGTAACAGCCAACAGGTACTGAGTGCTATTAGCTACTAACTAGAACTTCTTCCTGACCCCAAACTAAGGCTCACCTAGCCCCCACCCCACGCCCCCTATAGGAGAACAGGTTCGCTTGCCAAGAAGAGGCGGCGCTGGGAAACTGCTGCCTTCGGGCTTTTCTGGCAGTGTCAGCAGAACAGGGACACACTGAGGACCAGAAAGCCAGGCACMTGCCTCGGAAATTAGGTAACTTCATTCTCTGGACTTGTCTTCCCAGCTGGGGAATAGCGCCAGCCAGTCCTGCCCTGCCAGCTTCCCTCTTGTAYAGGAGGGCCCAGGACGTACTCTACAGGGTCAGTGTGGAAGTAGCGAGGGTTCTGGGCTCGGCTGCCTGGAGGAGCCTGGCTGCCAGGGTTCTGGGCCACCAGCATCTGCTCCTTCTCCCTCCCCCTCATCYGACAGGTCTCTACAGAATTTCAGTCAACACAGGAAGCTGGATTGAGGAATGGCACTGAGGTTCCGTTTAAACAAAGCATTGTTCCACAGTGCCAACTGGAGTCAAACTGACTTAACTTTTTTAAAACAGAAGAGTAAATATCTTGCATCATTTCCAATTATAGTTTTTTAGTCAGGGGGGGGGGCTACTGGGGATTGAACCCATAGGCACTTAACCACTGAACCACATCCCCAGCCTTTTTTTATATTTTATTTACAGACAGGGTCTCTTGGGCTGGGATTGTAGCTCAGTGGTACTGGGTTCGATCCTCAGCACCACACTAAAAATAAAGACAGGGTCTCACTGAATTGCTTAGGACCTTGCTAAGTTGCTAAGGCTGGCTTTGAACATGAGATCCTCCTGCCTCAGCCACCCACCTCCCTAAGCCACTGGGATTACAAGCATATGCCACAGCACCTGGCTTCCTATCATTTTTAATAGATGTTTCCCCTAAATGATGGTTTAACTATGACATATCTGATCTCCTTTTGAAAGAAACCAAACCTACAGTTGGGTAACAAGTGGTAATGCAATGATATAAACTCACAATCTTTGTATACTTTTTTTCTCAGAAGAAATTCACTGATGGAACTGTTGGGTCTAGGGTTGTGGCTCAGTAGCAGAGCACTTGCCCAGCATGTGTGAGGCACTGGGTTCAATTTTCAGCACTGCATATAAATAAAATGAATAAAAATAAAAGTCCATCAACATCTAAAAAAAAAAAAACAAAAAACCATTAAAAAAAATGCACACCCGTAAGACTGCAGGGCTCTGGGGTTGTGTGGGTGGCTGCTCCCCCACAGACCAGTATCACTCTAAATCTTTGCCTATCTGAGCAGCAGAAAGCAAATAGCATTGCTATCTTAAAATGGAGCTCTGATAAAGAAGTTAAGCCACTGTACCTTGCAAATTGCTCTTTTATCATGTCTGTCTTTCCTTCCTTGCCTGTAAAGAGCATTCACAAATCAAGGCGGTAACATCTTATTCTTAAAGTTTCCACTGATTGGCCATTGCTCTTGTTTTTCCCAGTTCTAGGAACTGAACCAGGGCCTTGGATACACCAGGCGTGTGCTCTACCACTGAGCCACCTCCCCAGCCCCACAGGCTTTTCTTTGTGGGGTTCTTCCTTTCATCTTACTGAGAAGATTATCTAACAGTGAATTTTTTCCCCTCCTGTTTGTATCTTTGAATATAGCAAAGACCTTCCCCCAACCTAAAGAATCATAAAAGTATTCATTTGCTTTGTTGTGATTCTCCTGTGACAGTGCAGTTGCTTTCTACTTTCAAGTGTGTGGAGGTACAAAATTTTTTGGCAGGTAACTTTGTAATTGATAGCTAAATTATGAATAGGTTTTGTCAACACCTCTGTACCAGGATTTACAGAAAGACAGGAAATCTATGTGGCACCAGGTTCCCTGTGCTCTTGCTGAAGGGAGGCAATCTAAGCTGACTTTCCTAGATATCAAAATCCAGGCGGGGTGTGGTGGTGYGCCTGTAAGCCCAGCAACCTGGGAAGTTGGGGCAAGAGGATGGCAAATTAGAGACCAGCCTGGGCGAAAAACCACACAACAGCCAGACCCTGTTTCAGTAGAAAATGAAAAGTGCTAGGGAGGTAGCTCAGTAGTAGAGCACCCCTGGGTTCGATCCCTAGTACTGGGAAGAAAAAATAAAATCTGAATCTCCCAACTTAAAACTGTTCACTTCCCTGTTACCATCTCTGGAGGGAGCATGCATCTGGGCCTTGGGACAAGCTGTCAGACCTGACGGGGAGGACAGCAAACTGCTTTTGCTGACTTGTGGCAGGGAGCAGAGCTGCTCATGGAAGCTCATTTTCTTTTGTCGTTTTTTTTCCTTCTTCCTGACTTTTGGGCCACAGCTAAGAGACTAGAGTAGACCCCTATTTCTCCTCCCCTACCTCTGACTCCCACATATGTACACTCTGCATTAGGATCAAACTGATGTCACCAAAGGTGCTTTGTCTTAAATAAAGAGGAGAGAATGCTTCACAATCTGTTGCTCAACTTCAATAAAAATGAACTCCTTGAAGCGGGGTGTGGGTGGCGCACGCTGTAGTCCTAGTGGCTCAGGAGGCTGAGGCAAGAGGATCATGAGTTCAAAGCCAGCCTCGGCAACAGGGAGGCACTAAAGCAACTCAGTGAGACCCTGTCTCTAAATAAAATATACAAAATGGGGCTGGGGATGTGGCTCAGTGGTCGAGTGCCCCCGAGTTCAATCCCTAGTACCCCCCACGACCCCCCAGAATTAACTCCTGGCAGCACAGCTCCATGGCCAGGCCCCACTTCTGTTCCAGCAGCAGGGCTAGATCGATGTTCTGAAGCAAACACTAAAATGCCAGGTTGTAAACATTTTAAAACGCGTTTAAACCATTGTGAACTAACATGAGAAAATAGAAAAAAAAAAAAAAAAAAGCATGCAGACAGGACAGAAATAAAAGCAAGAACCCTGGGAAGAAAAACCAGTTTCTATTTTGGGAATTTCTACAGAATCCTAGAGACCTTAACCTTCTGGCTCCTTGAGTGGAGGAGCCTGCAAATTAGGCCTGGAGCCTGCCAAAGGCTGGGGAGTCCAGATGCAGGCTCCTGGGGAAGCTGGGATCCAGAGGGCTCAGTCCTCAGTGTAAGAGCGAATAGGAGGGCAGCGAGGAATCTCGCCTATCTTGGTGCTGATGAATTTAAAAACACCAGGCAAATTAGAAGTACAATTCCCCTTCCCTGCGTGTACAGTCCAATTCACCACTGAAGGGGAAAGGAGGTAGGAGAACCCTCAGAGGTTCACTCTGGAAAAAAAGACCTCAACGACTAATTTAAAGCAATTCCAGGGTGATCATTAAAGTAATCCCTAGCTTCAGGCAGAAGCCAATGCAAATCCCATCTGAAAGGATGTCATTTCAGCCAGACTCAAAAATTTCTTTCGGATAAAACTATGAATCAAATGAACACCTCAGAAATCGTAGAGTGCTAAATGACAAGTGCTAAATGAGCCAGAAGACAGTTGCAACACGTTATTGACAATGGGCTGCCATCCAAAACAGGTATTGTTTTTAAATGCTACAAATCAGTAAGGAAAAAAACAGAAATAGGCAAAGGGTCCCAATAGGCCTATCACAGAATATAAATTCAATTGGCCCAGAAGTAGATGAAAAGATGTTTGACCTTGGGCTAGGGGCTTAGCTCAGTGGGTAGAGGGGCCCTGGATCATCCCCAGCACTGCAAAAAAAAAAAAAAAAAAAAAAGCTCAAACTCACTGGAACCATGGATGTTAAAATTAAACTTCAAGCCGGATGCGATGGCCCACACCTATAATCCCAGCAGCCCGGGAGGCTGAGGCAGGAGGATCAAGAGTTCAAAGCCAGCCTCATCAACAGCAAAACACTAAGCAACTCATGAGACCCTGTCTCTAAACAAAATACGAAATAGGGCTGGGGATGTGGCTCAGAGGTTGAGTGCTCCTGAGTTATATCCCCAGTTCCCCACCCCACCCCACCCCCMAAAAAATTAAACTTCAAGAATCTGCTATACAGCTCCCAGACTGGCAAAAAAGTAAAAAGTCAGAAAATGCTAAGTGTCAGGGAGGGTCCGAGGACAGGAGCACTACACACTGATCAGCATTAGTCAGAATGTAACCCAGACCTATGCTGAAAAATAGACTATCATTTAGCAAAAAAGACAAAATTAAACTAGAAACACTCGTGTCTATGATCAACAACATATAAACGCATTGTAGTGTATTCCTATGATTTTATTTTTATAATAATGAATGAGGTAAGGGTTAACCTTACCTTATCTTGCCAAGATTTATCCCTTGTAGTCTGCCCTCCAGAAAGAGTTGGCCTCTTACAAGGGTTCCAAAGAGTCCGGCCATCGCCAACTGGCTCAGGGACTGACCTCTTGTAAGGCTTAGACCCCAGCCCACCAGGCTTAGACCCCATCAGAGGAAGGGTTGCTGCTTCTCCACCATGACCAAATGCACTGTAATCCAGCTGTGGCGGGCACACCAAATTACTGCAGCAGCAAAACTTGGACCCTAGATCCCTGGTCACACTAGGGGGAGGAGCTGTGATTCCTGGTCATGCAGCCTAAAAGCACCACAGCGCACTGGCCCTCCTCCCAGGGCACTGGCCTGGAATGAATGGGCCACGCAGGACCTGCTCCTATCGCCAGTGTGCACGTCCCAGTAGCCTGGTGTCCTCTGAGGCCACTGCCTTTGTTTGTGCAACAGTGAATGAGCACATGTGTAATCACAGTACCAAGAATAACACTGGGGGCTGGGGTGTGGCTCAGTGGTAGAGCACTTGCCCAGCAGGTGTGAGGTGTCTGATCCCCAGCACCACCGGGGGAAAAAAAAAAAAACACTGAGAAAGTGAAGTAAAAGAAAGCAGGTTGAATAATTTTATTTATAAAAAGTTCAAAACTCAACAAAATAACCCAAATGAAGCAATTAGTAACACCAATTTCAGAATTCTGGTTTTCTCCTCTATGTAGGGGACGGAGGGAAAGATGCATTGAGGAAACGCCCTCAGGATCCTGATGCTAATTTTTCGTCTGGCTGGAGGATACAAGGTTCTTCACTATTCTTTAAACTGTACAGGTATGTCTTAGATATTGTGAATGCTTCACAGTAAGTCTCTCAACATGTGGGTTAAGGATTTGTTCCAAATTTTGAAAGTCAGCAGGTAGGACCTTGGACTTGGTGAGCCTGCTATCTCAAGCCTCCTCTCTCTGCACCACAGGCCACGGGCTGCCAGCTCCTTGGCTTCCAACAGTCACCCCCATTCTGTTCCTTTGTCCTGTGTCCATCTAGTGAACTTCTGATTTTCCAAAGTGCTGCTGTCAGCTCCCCTCCAGATTTACGTGGTTTTCAAACCAGTTGTACGCCTGTCCTATGTTGGCACCCCTATGAGAACTCGAGTGTCATGGTTGTGTTCTGTGTACACCAGCTTCCTAGTCTGGGATATGTTCCAGCCACCTTGTGTCCTCAGAGCCTGGATATTAGGGTTATGAATGGAGAAGGCAGTCAAGCCAAACCTTTATACTACAGATGTCAATCACGGAGGGCCATCAAGGGTCAGCGTAGAGAGATGCATAAATACTGTCGAGTGCCTCTGAGTGCTAGTTCACTTAATCCTCAACAGCCTACCAAGTGGGCAGCTGAGCTCATTTTTCAGGAATGGAAACTGAGACATAAAGACACACATCACTGAGCACTGCAGAGCTGGGTTCAAACCTGGGCTTCCAATTCCAGAGCCCGCACTTAACCATTGCACAGCTCTCTCAGAAGGTTGTGGAGGGATTAAAAACTGTGTCCCGGAAGCCAGATGGCTTAAAATCCCAGCTCCACTATTTACAAGATTGCCTAGGCCAGGGCACTTCTGAGTGTGTTCTCTCATCTACAGAACAGAGCTGACACCAYCTGCTGGCAGGGTTGTCCTGGGGGACAGAGGAGCTGAGTCCTGGTTCCAGGTAATCACAGAGACTGATGAAACTACACCGCCCCCAGGTGACCTCCTTGGTTAGTGCTCCAAGTTCAAGCACAGCAATGCAGATGCCCCTTGCTTTCAACAGCAGAGAGACATGGGGTTTGAGCATACAAAGACTACTTACGTGCCCCTAGGACACAGGAAGTACTGACTATGCCACCTAATGCTTCCTTTAATGCCTAGAATTCTGAATGCTCTTGGATACAGAACAGAGAGCTTGTTACGGCTCACTGGACAATATGGGCTCAGAAAAGGCGAGCCTTTTAGGACCCACCAACCCACAACAGAGAACCACCTCCAAGGCAGCTGAGCCAAGTGAGATGTGTGGCAGGGGGTGACAGCTCTCCATTCCATTTAATTGAAACTGCTACTAGTCTGCCAACCCCCTGCTTTTATGTGTCAAAGAGGGAGGGAGACAGGCTGGGCTTTAGACTGAGCCGCCAGGGATGACTGTCTCAATCTGCCAGTTAACAGCTGTGGGACATGACGTTGAAAGACACCAACAAATACAGGGTCCCATCCTTAAGATCAAATCAAGTTTAGAGACTTGCATAAACACCTTCATGGTAACATGTTTAGTCAGCTGGAGACTGAGCCAGACCTCAGAGAGAGGTCACTCACCTGGCAGGGTGGGAACAGGCACTAGAGGCTTCCTGGAGGACAGCCCATCTTTGGGAGAGAAGACTCCAGGGAGAAGAAAGTATACAGTAGCAGCAGCAGTAATATAAAAACATAGTATTTATTATGTGCCGCATGTTCCGAGCACTTACATTCAGTCAGTCCATATGATGGCCCCACCTTATGAAGAAACCCAAACTAGCCTGTCTGCCCAAGGTTAATCTACAGCCTACTAAGTGCCAGAGCTGTATTTAAACCAGGGRGTCTGGTTCCACAGTTTGCTGCCTTCTACCCTGTACTGCAAAGGAAGAAGCACAAAGCCCTCTGTGGTGTGCTGGGAATAAGAAACCGCTGAGGGTGGCTGAACAGCCCAGCCAGTTGTTTAAGGGTTAAATGTGGAGAATGAATTGGACATTACCCAGGGGCATATATGATGACACAGCCTGTGTGACTCTACCTCAGGTACAACCACAATGAGAAGTTAGACTCCAGTGATGTATGTGTCAAAATAACTGATTAGCACAAGTACAAAAAAAAATTCAGTGTGGGGCAGGGGCCTAGCTCAGTGGTAGAGCGCTTGCTTAGCATGCACAAGGCCCTAGGTTCCACCCCCAAGACTACAAAAMAAAATGTGCATGCAGTGTCCAGAGAGCAGCTTGTTTGAGTGGACAGACGGCTGTAGGGCGGGTGATAGATACATCAGTATCTTGTGTCACAAACATCAAGTTCTCAAGAGGCCAGGAGAATGGCAACACACCCCCACTCTTCTAGGACAGCTGTGATGGGGGATGGCATTACAGTCCCTTAGAGATGTATTCTAGGCTTCCTCTCTCTATGCATGGACATACCACAGGCTTCAGAATCTTAGGGTGAACACAGTGTCCCCAACCTAGGGATTACCAAGAACCTCTGTCCTCCAGAGCCTCCTTACTTTTCCTGGAAACTAAAGCAGACCCTAAGAATGCACATTAATACCTAACACCAGAAATCATCCAATGGCTTTAGTGCTGTGCTAATTTTGGGGTCCAGCTTAGCTCCAGGTGTCCCCAGGCCAAGCCCTGGCCCCTTCCCTGTCTCCTACCTGCTCCAATACCTCTGGGCTCTCAGAGCCTGAATGTTAGGGTCATGACTGGAGAAGGCAGTCAGASCAAACAGTCGAAAGGCTTAGTTGGCCAAATACTTTAAAAAAATTTGGTTAAAAAATTAGTTTCTTTACTCCCAAGATTCTCCAGAGCTTTCAGTATATACTAAGCGTTCTGGCCCCTCCAGGCAGACATGGATGCAGGACTAGTGAAACGACAATTTGGACAACCTCCAGGGAACACCCCATTACTTGGCTCCCCCTCCAGCACAATCCTTTTGTCCATCATCACTGGCTCCCTCACATTCTCTCCCCGACTCTAAGCAAGTTTCCAGCCCAAACACTCCATCAGGATGGCCCTCTCCAGGGACCAGGTGGCCACTCCTTTCAGTCACCACACTCCAACAGTGGCCTCCTTCCTGTTCCTGAGTCTTTCCAGCCTCAGGCCCTTCCTTCCCTCACCTACAACTCCCCTTCCGGCTTCCTCCCCTGTGGCCTCTGGATCTGAAGCAGCCACTGGACCCTACATTAATCCCCTCCATTCATGCTTCTCTTCTGATTCTTACTGCTCACTGCTATCTCTTCCAGAAGCAGCTTTACAACTTTCCAACTGCCAGTCAGTAAAACCTCTCCCCACTCAARCCAATGGGGACAGGTTTTCTATCACCTGCAACTAAACAAATCCTTCCTGAGATGCTCAGCCCCTCACCAGCAGCCTAAGGCTAGCCTTCCCTGGGTACCCCTCCCTTCTAGACTGCGGAAGCCAAGCCCAGGCACGTGCAGACAAGAGACTCAAGGCCAAGGCCTGAAAAAYGGCTGTAGAGTTTTTTATTTCTACTATGCAGTGAAGAGTGCAGAGAAGAAAGAACGACGGGCTTCTTGGTAGTCAGGGCCGTGTGCTCCCCCCGCCCCTCGACCTTCCCAGCTGAGGGTGCTTCTGTTACAGACAGACACAAGGAGGTGGCTATGTTTATTGTTTTCTTTTTTTAATGAAACTAGATCACTGCTTACAAAAACCTGTGCGCTCCCTCAAGCCCATCCCCTTCACAGTGCCCTTGGCTCGGCCTCTCCCTGTCTCACAGGAACTGAGACAGTGGGGAGAACAGCCACCACCTCAAGGGGAGAGGCCCCGGGCTGCAACCCTGAGCCTTTACAGGGTGACAGCTCTTCCTCCTATGTCCATTCCTGTGGGGCTTAGAGGCACATGGATGAGGGTGGTCCATGCTGCCATGGCTCTCAGGCCACCACCCAGACCAGAGTGAAATGATGTGAATGTCCCACCCACAGATGCCCCCTCCCCCCACCCTCCCACCCCAAATTCTACCCCACTACTGATATGAGGCCCAGCTTCTCAGAGAAGGCGTGGGGCCTACAGGCTGTAGAACTTGAGGCTCCTATCCATGCCAGTCGAAGCGATGAACTTGGCGTGGTGCCCAAAGGCCACCCCTGTGGTCAGGCCACTGTGTTCTGAGGAGAGAGACACAAGGCAGCTATGAAAAGGCTTTTCCTTCTTCAGGCCTCAACACTAGCCCCTAGTGACATTCTTCCAACATAACTTCATCAGGTYCTTATCACCCGGCTGGTACTACTGGTCTGCTCTTGGCAGCTGACGAGACACGGGGGCAGGCAGCTCTCATCTACTCACCACTTACTCCGTCCTCAGTTGGGATGAATGAATAAAGGAAGGCCAGCCGCCTTCTCACCTAAGCTTTCTRGGCAACTCACTGTGTTCAGTTTGCCGGTGTGTGTCTGATTCTAACTGGG